GTCTGGCTTTTCTTGAAAAATCAGAATAGCAACAGCAGGCCCAGAGTCCTACAGGCAGCCAGTGCCCCCTTCAGGTGACACACAGAATCTCAGGTGTGCCCTGGTCACCACCACTCCCTATCGCCCGCATCCAGCCCCTTCATGCATGTAACTTACCACCCAAGTCCATTGAACACTGGACTTTTCAACCTGAGCTTGAAGACCTTTTAAGTCTCTAGAGGCATCAGTTTTCAATCCAACCTGAGCTGAGCTCACACTTCTTTTTTTGAGAAAAGCCAGAAGGAATAGACAGAAGCTCGTTTTCCACATTTCTTCTCCAAGCCACAGCCACTGCTTTCTAAAAGGCCCTCTCTGAGTCTTTGCCAACAAGTGGTCCTTTGTCCTCCTCTCTCTGCCCCAGTATCTCCGTAATCTAAGGTGGGAACACGACGAATTAGAGAACCGTGCTCATTCTGTCTGGGGCTGAGCCAAGTGAAGAGTGCAGTGAGTGGTGGCAGCTGAGGGGGACACTGAAGGGGGAGGTGAGGGCAGCGGAGCCCTTCTCTGCCCGGCCCGCAAGCCTGTGGACCCAAGGATCTGAGGTTCTCCACCGGTTCATTCAAATGGTGTTTGATTCTGTGCTCGGCCCTGGGGGCTCCCAAATCTCGCTTCAGCTTTCCCAAGTCCGGGGCTTAGCACAGCTGGCCAAGTGCCATGTGGGTAACAGGACAGACTTACAGTAGGAGTGATGTTTTACCTTAGTACAGGTGCCAGAGAATGCATTTTCAGTACCTCTGGTGCATCATAATAGGAATCAAGGAGACACGGTAACGTGCCTCTCAGGGTTTAATTCCTTTGCTCCAGCTAAAGGCTCTTCTGAAGACGGGGGGAAATACACCTGTAACGTTGCTACTGACGTGCACCGAGATGGGCTCAAGGGTCAGGCTTGTCCTTGGGCTCCTGGAGCGCTTCCTGGCCCACATCCCTCACCCTAGGGCGGGTCCACATTGAGGGGGATGGATACAGAAGAGAAAGAAGGGACCAATACTTCCTCGGGGCCTGGGGAACGAGCCAAGGGCTCACGTGTTCTCGTAAAATGCACTAACGAGGCTTGGCACCAGGAGAGCGCGTCACGGTGGAGCCCCGAGGATCCGCGCAGGAGAGAAGCCAGGGCAAGTTCCACCTGCTCCTGGAGTCTCCAGCACGCTGGTGCCTTGCAGGTTCCACGCTTCTTCAAGAACCCCAGTGAAGCATCTTTCAGTTCCAGTATTTCCCAAAAGCCAAATTACCAACAGAATCCAATGTTAATGAAGCATGTATTAGTCTCCTTCATGAGTGCTCTGCCAACACCTCTTGGGAGATGCTGGTGCTGTAGAAACAACACTGGTTCTGAGTTCTCGTTCTGGCTTCTCAATTTACTGTGTGACTTTGGGCAAAATTGTTGCCTCTCTGATCTCCACCTCCTTTATTATGTGATGGAGGTCATAATACCTGACCTGCCTATATTTCAGGTGAAATGTGATCATATTTGGAAGTTTTTGAAATCAGAAAGTACGCAGCAACCCTGCCAATCTGATCCCCTAGGCCAGAATTAGGGTTCAGGAATCTGTTTTATACACACACAGACCCACACCCTCCATTTGGGGTCTACCTGTGTCTGATCTATGGCTCCATCCTGGCCCATCAGAATAGGTGGGAGAGACAAAGAGATAAGCAGTTCCAACAAAAAGGGGAGAGGCCTCAGATTTAGCATTTCAGGATGGCTGATGTTCTGTGCGGAAACCCGTGCACACATTACTGCACTGGATCCTTAAGAATACCCTGCGAAGGAGGCTGTGTCTCTACCTTACAGACAGGAAAACAAACTCTGAGAGGAGTTAAGTAACTTATGTAAAGCCACACAGCCTGAGAGCAGAGTCAGCCTGGGTTGCAGCTTTGATGACTCAGAACGGATGCTAGGTCCTGGGCACGTAGAAGGCACGCGGCCAAGGCACCGATCATCAGTCTTATAAGACTTGCTACTGTTCCCTCTGTCCGGACCTCGCCAGTTTCCGTACCTACTAGACACACCACCAAGACAGCGACCATCGAACACTCCTCAAACTTGTGCAAAACACAAGTGACCCAAGAGATCTCTTGTCGTTTTTTTTCTTCTGAAACTGGAACAGTTGTGGGGAAATAAGAGGTGACAGAACTGCTCTAGCTGAGATTTAAGAGACAAAACTAAAAGGCAGGCAGTGCTGACGATTCAAACGGACCAACTGCAAAAAGATGTTTGAGAAAACTGGGGCATCTGGACTGGGTACTGATGAATTATGGCTTATTTTGGTGGCTGTGAAAAGGCACCGAGGCCCTGTAGGACAATGCGTTCTCCAGTGCAGGGGTGAAACGACGTCTTGGCTGTCATTGGGGTGGGGGGACATGAGGGACTTCCCTGGTGGCCCAGTGCTTAAGACTCTGTGCTTCCAATGCAGGGGACACAGGTTTGATCCCTGGTCGGGGAACTAAGACATCACATGCAGTGGGCATGGTCAAAAGGGGGGGATATGAAAATGTGGCAAATTTTGGTAATTGTTTTAGGTGAATGATGAGTAAAGGGCACTGAGTAGCCAATTCTCTCCGTTTTTGTGGACGCTTGAGATGTTTCATAATTAAATAACAAAAAGTTGATTCAGACACTGGATGTGATACCAGTCTTCTTGCGTCCACTCACCCACCCTCAACCTCCCATCAGTGCCGGCTCCTGCAGACCCCTTAACTGCTAAAGCCCACTCAGTACTCAAAATGCATCCCACCCTCCTTGCAGCCGGCCCTGGCTCCCCTGCTACTAGACTGGGTTGTCTACAAGGGAGATGCAATGGCACAACCGAGGTAGGGGAGAAGCACACCCCAGCTTCGCATTTGCAGACACGTGCCCCCTTCCTTTCTTCAGCTGTAAAGTGAGCACAAGAGCACCTACCTTGCAGATCACTTGCATTGGCATAATCCGGCAAACTGCTGGACACAGGGTCTGGCTTTTGCTAAATGCCCAATAAATGTTACCTGTCACTCCCATGATTAATCTCTCAATCTGATCACAGCACTTCCCTGCTTAAAACCATCAGGGGTTCCCTGCAAAGTTCTAGGACAAGGTCAAACTCCTGACTTAGGGCACCCACCTCTTCCAGGTCCAGCTCCACCTCCTTTCGCATCACTGCTTCTCTCCCTGGCCTCTGTCCCTTTGCACCTGCTATGCCTCAACCTGGAAAGTTCACCTCCTTGTGGCTCCTGGGTCAGCCTCTCTGAAGGGCTGCTCAGGCTCCCAGGCTGGGCCAGTGCCTGCTCTCTGGGCTCCCATGGCCTGCACATCACCCTGGCACCGATCGCACTGGACTGTCATCGGCTGACTCACCCGTCTCCTTTAGCAACCTATCAGCTCCCTAACCAGCCTGGGGTAGATTCTCTCCCAGGGGCCTATTCTCTACAGTCGATATAGGGTGAGTTTACCTGACACTCCATTGGGCAACTTGGTTTCCAGATTGTATTTCAGAAGAGGATACATTTTGACTTCTGCCTCACGGCCTTTGCATTCACTAGGCATGAGTCTCCTGGGATCTTCTTAAAATGCATTCTGACTCAGCAGGTCTGGGGCCCAGCCCAAGATCGTGCATTTCTGACAAACATCCAAGTAGTGTCAATGCTGCAGGTCCCGGGACACACTGAGAAATGACTCACTCCCAACCTCAGCCAGGCTCCAGCCAACTCATCCTTGGGTCTCAGCTCAAACATCACTTCAAAAAGGGCTTTCCCAACACCTCACTTCAAATGAGACCACACTTATTCCCTCCTAGAGCCCAGGCCTCACATGTGCTGTGTGAGGTCTCCCAGACCAGCATGGAAGCCCGAGGCGGTGCTGGAGGAGCGTGCCTCTCGGTTGGAAAAAAAAAAGCCTTCAAGCCCCACACCCACATTTACTCCTGTGAGCTTCTGGCACAAAGTCTCTGAGGGGGGCCTACTTGTCCTCCTGAGGGAAGAGGGCATCCAGGAGGGTGCAGAGGACTTCCTGCCACACTGGGGATTCTGAGGACTTACCAGACACCCCCGCCCACCCTGGCCAGACTCAACTTGAAAGCAGATCATCTAGAAAGGCCCACCCCGGCTGCCCCTTCCAGTGGGGCTGCTTCTTGCCCCCCCCAACCCCTGCAGCAAACCCACCAGCCACTGCTCGAAGAGATGCCCCCAGCTCACGATTTCTGTTTCAGCAAAATTAGGAACAGGTGAGCGGGGACGGCACATCTTGGTGAATGAACTCCCAGAACGAAGCTCACATCACACAAATCGCCCAGAACCCTGCAGGCCGGTCCAGCTTCCCGTCCCGTCCTGTCCTGTCCCCTCCTCCCAGCCCCCAGAAGTGCTCCGGGCCTTGCCCTCCAACCCTGCCTGCTCCCGACAGAGTGCACCACTGCCCACCCACAAACAACCAAGAGCAGAGCCCATCGATGCCCCTACCCGGGTCAGGATGCCGGGCAGGGAGCCTCCCCTCTAGGCCCGGCCTCTCCATTTCCAGCACGCTGAGGCTCCAGGGTGGGACCATGTTCTCTAGGACGGTGATGGAGGTTCATTTTGAATCCTTTCTTTATTCCATCACAAAGCCTACCCTATCCTCCTATCACCCTAAAGTCTCCACCTGTGCCCTAGCTCATGTCTCCTCGGCCACGGCGGTTCTGAAGAGGGAGGCGGCCTCTCGGAGGCTTAGCCTCGGATCCTGGCTCCAAGGGTCTGGGAGCACCTGGGAAACGCTCCTGCCTGCGGTCCTCGATTTGGGAGGACAAGGCACGGTGACGCCCAGGCCCGCAGAGCTGCTGCTTCTCCCCGGACCGGGTGGCAGATCAGTCGGGCTGAAATGACGTCCTCGGCAGGGTGCTCGGCGACAGTTCTCACTTTGTGCCACAACAGAAAGAAAAAAAACCAAACACCAACAGTCCCATCTTCAGCTAAGCATTCCTCAGATGAAATAAAACAAAAAGGAAAAGTCGACGTGATTTGGCAAAGGCTTCTTAAATTTTAAATTAAAAACAGAGAAAAAAATTCACACAGAAGAGATTCAACTTGTCTGCTTTGAAGAAATATATTAAAGAAGGTGAAAAAGTTAAAAAAAAAATCAAACCCCAAATAATGATAAAAATAGATGTATCCTCTGTAAAATTCTGGACTAATCTACTGAGTCATTCATATCTATTCAGTATCAGAGCATAAGGTGAAATACCAAAGTATAAAAAATTAAAACACAAGACAAACCAAAACACCTTGACAGACTGCCTTTGAGCAAGCCCACTGGGCTTGCAGCTGGCTCAGGCTCCAATGCCGAGTGCTGGAAGCTTCGCTGTCTGGTCCCTGCCACGCCTGCCCTGAGCAGACCCTCAAGGCCTTCAAAGTTCTTCCCTGGCCCTGCTCAGTTCTGTGGCATGTTCTTCTATAAACTTGCTCAAATGCTCCAGGTCTCTGTTTCCGTCCTCAAATTTAATTGGGTTCTTTTTGTCCCCGCTGGGGGAGAAGTAGATGGTGGGGAAGCCCTCGACTTTGTAGCGGGCGTTGGTGACATCGTTGGCCGTGGCGTCCATCTTGGCAATGACCAGATTCTTGTGTCCCTTGTACTTCTTGCCCAGGGCTGTGTACACGGGCTCCAGCTGCTTGCAGTGCCCGCACCAGGGCGCGTAGAACTCGATGAGGACGTCCTTCTTAGGGTCCATCACGATGGAGTCGAAGGTCTTCCCCACCACGACCTTGACTGGCCCCTTGTTGTTCTTGGGCACCGGCTGGGATTTGATGACTGGCTTCAGTTTTCCTGCCGAGGAAAGCAAGCAGAGGAGGAGTGTGAGAGCCGAAAGGCCCAGACCCTGGAGGCTCTGACTGGACCAGGCAGTGAGGCTGGCCTGACATGCAGGACAGGGCAAGTCAGACGCTGCCAGGGCCAGGCAGGGCCTTGTCTCCAGAAGCCCACCGCCAGTTCTCTGGTTTCCTCATGTCCTCTACGTTCCCAGTCCCTGCAAAGGCCAGAGAGGGTGCAGGCGGTTCCCCACAAGGCCTAGCAGACGCTGGGTCCTGTTCAGTGAGGCCATCACAAGAGATGTTCCCGATGCAGAGGGGTTACTAGGAGGGTGGGCGCCGCGGGCTGGAAGGCACGGTGGGGAGTAGACTGAGCAGAGACGGACAAGGAGGTCTGCCCGCCAGCCGCCAGCGCTGGGGACCCGGGGCCATGTGCTCAACCAGATGAGAAAGACACTCCGCTTGATGCCAAAGCAAGTTTCCCTCATACATGAAACTTATGTCTAAGTCCAAAAGCCTGTTGTACTTTACATATTTTAAAAATAAGGCTTCTTGGGCTTCCCTGGTGGCGCAGTGGTTGAGAGTCTGCCTGCCGATGCAGGGGACACGGGTTCGTGCCCCGGTCCGGGAGGATCCCACATGCCGCAGAGCAGCTGCGCCCGTGAACCATGGCCGTTGAGCCTGCGCGTCCGGAGCCTGTGCTCCGCAACGGGAGAGGCCACAGCAGTAAGAGGCCCGCGTACTGCAAAAAAAAAAAAAAACAAAAAAAAGGCTTCTTGGGCTTCCCTGGTGGCGCAGTGGTTGAGAGTCCGCCTGCCGATGCAGGGGATGCGGGTTCGTGCTCTGGTCCGGGAAGATCCCACATGCCGCAGAGCAGCTGCGCCCGTGAACCATGGCCGTTGAGCCTGCGCGTCCGGAGCCTGTGCTCCGCAACGGGAGAGGCCACAGCAGTGAGAGGCCCGTGTACCGCAAAAAAAAAAAAAGGCTTCCTGAGATTTCCAAGACGCCTGCCTTTTTTTTCTATTGCGAAAAAAAAAAAAGAGAGAGAGAAAGCAAAAGAACAGGGATTCTCCATCCCCATCTTCCCATCCCTTGAGTCCAGGAGGAAGCCTGGGCCAGGCCCCCGACAACAAGCCGGTGGGGCCGCGGAGGTGGAGGATGGGATGGGGGAGGATGGGATGGGGGGGGGCCCACCTTTCTTGAAGGCGCTGACGAAGGCACGGAGAGTGTCGGCATCGAAGTCGTCGGGCTCCATGGCGAACCTGTGGCCGCCCTCGTCCAGGATGGCCGCGTTCACCTCCTCCCCACTCTCACTCAGCCCCAGGTCCTTCACCTCCGTGGCGAAGTCATCCTCGTCAGCCACGGCAAAGGTGTACTCGGGGAAGTCCTTGGCCACCTCCAAGACCTTGTTCCGCCAGAACTGAGTAGCTGAAAGGGCACCAAGGGCCGTGAGCCAGGCCGCAGCGGCTGAGGCTCCAGATGCCAGACGCAGACCCCGGACCAGCCTCGGGCTGCAGCCCAGGGCCCCTGCCCGCAGGCGGGTCGGGGTTGGGGGCTGGCCTTGCCCGATCACCCCTGCATCTCTAATCTAAGAGGGCCCAACTTGGCTCGAAGCTCCCCTCGTGCTCAAGCAGAGAGGGAAGGGGGTAGCGACACAGCCCAGGAGGAAAAAGCCCCTGAAGCCGTAAGTAACCACACACCCCAGCCGCCAACCCGGGCCTCACCAACACGGTAGTCGAAGCTGAAGTCCACGCCGTAGTACACGACCACCAGGGGGCGCCGCGAGTAGCGCTTGGCCTCGTTGGAAGACTTGCGGTGGCCGACAAGGGGCAGTGTGTGCCTCAACACGTGCTCCTTGATGGCCGAGCTCTCCGTGGAGTCCTGCAAAAGGGGGCAGGTGAGGTGCAGCTGTCTGTTGCTGTCAATGGGAAAAGACATTTGCTCCAAGAGACGGGCACAGGGGCCCCACTCAAGTCCACCCAAGGGCTGGGGCCCCTCCTCCAGGGAACCCGAAGTGAGCCTCTCGGGCAACTGCAGAGGCCGCGTGCCCTTCCCTCTGGGTGGGGGCCTGTGGTCCAGGTCAATCAGTTTCTGCTGGGGGAAGGCCCGGCTCCCAGATGACAGCAGCACTAACATGGGCTACACTGGCCGCAGGGTCCCACCTTCCCCTGGTCTGATCCTCACAGCAGCCTCTCTGGGACACTGCATGGACGAGGAACACAGTGCCGTGATGCGAAGCGCCGCTGGGGCTCCGAGCTCCGCCTGGAGAAAGCCTGCCCCTGACTAGCCGCTACACCGAAGCCGGGGGCAGGGGTGCGGGCAGTGTCTCTCAGGAAGAGCATGGGGCCACACAGTTGCAGGTGAAGGCAGCACGGCCACCTCACTCTACAGGTGAGGAAACCGAGGCCCAATGAGGTGCGGCTGCCTGCCCAGCAGGAAGTGATGGATGACCACTGCTCTCTCCCTCTAGGGCCCATGTCCCATCTGCAGGGATGGTCAGGAGGTGGCCCCAGGTGGCGCTGAGAAATGGCAGGCCAGGCCAGGTGGGAGGAGGAAGCAGGGACGAGGCAGAGGGCAGCCGGGCTGTGGGGTGTCTTTCATCAGGACGGCCCCTGGACCAACCATCACTCAGGAGGTGGGCTCAAAGCCAAGGGACCCAGGACAAATGTGCTCCCAAGCTGAGCACCTGGCACCTGCGGGCCCGAATCTGAACTCAAGGCCAGAGCCCTCCTCGCTTACGTCTGCAGCAAACAGGCTATCCCCTCACAGCAGTGCTGCCTGTGCTGATTTTATACCTGGCTTCATCTTACCTGTCCTGCCCTTGTCTTCCCTTTGTCCTAATTTTTAAATCCATTTTTTAAAAGTCGCATTTTATCTGTTGTGTGAATTTTTTACAAAGCAGCCTGAAGTAATTTTTGCAACCAAGATGGTATATAAATAACACCAAAAGAGCGCAAAGTAGCAGTGATGTGTACAACAGACTGTGGATCTCAACCTTTTCAGGTCAAGGACCCCTTCAAGAATCTACTGAAAGCTGCAGACAGCCCCCCTTTCCCAGGAGCACGCACACCATACAGAACTGTGCCACCAGGGCCCCTCTGTGGACCCAGAGTCAGTATCTCTGGATGCTAAAAAGAGAAGCTAGAGGGCAGGGGGAGAGATGAGACCAACCCCATATGCCCTGGCTGGGGACAGAGCACACCTGCATTTTCCCTAGTCTGCTCCTAACTGGTTGTAGGACCTCCAGTCTGTTAGCTCACTTCTCTGCATCGTTCTATCAAATAAAATATTTGGATTCAAGATGTAAGGTTTTTTCCAAAGCTGAAGATCTGTTCAGTGGAGTGTGGGGCCCCTGTGAAGCACTCAGAACACTGAGCTGGACCCAGGCTCACCCTGGGCTGGGAACTCCCTCCGCCCCTCTAGAGATGAGTGTGTCACCCGCTTAGGAAGACCGAGAGTGGGGGGACATAGAGGAAAGAAAGGCCAAGTCCACATGCCACGTCCCACAGCTTCACCCAGTGAACAGAGAGGCCCGTCATCGCTTCGTAGGCCCCAGCGCCCAAGCCACCTGGAGGCAAGTGAGGCTTGGCTCAGACCCAGCAGCCAGCACATCCTGGCCAGGAGCCACACTGGCCACGCAGGCCGGTGCTGGCCTGCCAGGAGCTATAAAGACCTGGGGAACTCTTCTGGCAAAAGCAGGTGGAGCTCTGCCAGGGGCCAAGGCCCCACGACCCACAAGGTATGTGTGACCCCAACCCCCGACCACCGTCCCTCCCGCGAACCCTGACCAAGAGACCTTCATGCCGATCGGATGCCCCGGGGCTGGCATCCCTCACCCACCTGGATGTCCATCACGTGGCTCTTGGGCTCATATTTGGACTGGAATTTCTCAGGCTGCATGATGACCAACTTCCCCGGGGAGACTTTCAAAAACTTTGCTATTTCAGTGTGGAAAGTGTGGTGGAATTTGTAATCCTCTCTCAGGTGGTTAGCTGAAAAATTAACAGAACAACAAATACACAACTTACTAAGATTCAACTCACTACCCACCATCAGTCAAAGCAAACGCCCAGAAAATAGTGTTCTTAACCACGAACGCTGTGTGGACAGTATCCAGAGCTTAAACACTGGAAAGGAGTCTGGATTTTAAAACTCGGTATAGATGGAATACCTTAAAGTCTATATATCTTGGAATTTATTTTAAAAATAAATAATCTTCACAGAAAAACTTAGAGCTAATTTGTCAGGCGCTACGGTCAACTGTGGCCTCTGATGCTGAGAAGCACATAACCCTAGACAGACAGCCCAAATCCTCCTGTGTCTGTCATAAGAGCCCTCCATCCCCACAGGGAGTTTTCACACCCAGCACCCGTCGCAGGGCTTTGACTGCTCCTCCTCGAGTTGCTGGGTGGCCTGTTTGTGGGCTGCGGTTCTTTTGCTGTACATACTTTGAATCTCGGGAAACTCGCAAATGCAACCCCACTGACTGAGGATACTCTAGAACAGGGGTTGGCAATCTTTTATGGAAAGGACCAGACAGGAACTATCTTGGCTTTGTGGACCCCATGGTCACGACGACCCAGCTCTGTGCTGATCAGCATGCAAACCATCCAGTGTGCTGTGTTCTAAGGGAACTTACAAAACCAGGTGAGGACCGGATTTGGCCCGTGGGCCGGCCTGTCAACCCCTGCCCCGGACCCCCCAGGGGAATCACCACAGTCCCTCTGCTTTGTCCTCGCTGAGGCATCCAGACGCACCCTGAGCGGAGTCTGTGGTCCCAGCACCGGGTGAGGTGTTGCCCCACCCAAGGGCAGCCTCCGACTGCTTATATATAGGGACAGGCGGCTGAGGGCACAGTCCGTGTCTTGCAGGAGGCAGGGGCGACCTGGACAAGCTCACAGCTTTTAAGCTAAGACAGACTTCGACTGGAATCGTAATTTTCGACCTGCCAACTGTGTGCCTTCAGGCCTGCCACTTCCTCACCTCCCCGAGCCCCAGTCCCTCCGCTGTAGAAACAGGACAGGGCACCTCTCAGGCCACTGTAAGGATGAAACAAGGTGGCCCACCCAGAAGGCACACCCGTTCTAAGCCACCAGGCTCCCCGGGTATTTGTTATCAGGTGGCCCTGGGTGGAGAGACAGAATCGACTCAAGCACTTCCTGCCCACCCTCCACGCTCACAGACCCCTTCCTCCCACCAGACTCCCCTCTGCTCCTGCCCCATCAGCTTCCCTGTTGTCCGCGCTACACCCCCAGGACTGTCTCTGGCTCCTTCCCCGCAGTCTACACCCCAGGCCCAGTGACCGTCACCCCTGCCTGAGCCTAACCTGACTGGCCACGCGGGGTCACACGTATATCAGACTGGAAGTGAGGCAGCTAGATGGGCAGCACCCGGGCCCACCCAGATGTATAGCACCAGAACCCACATTTTTTTTTTTTGCGGTAAGCGGGCCTCTCACTGCTGTGGCCTCTCCTGTTGCGGAGCACAGGCTCCGGATGCGCAGGCTCAGTGGCCATGGCTCACGGGCCCAGCTGCTCCGCGGCATGTGGGATCCTCCCGGACTGGGGCACAAACCCGCGTCCCCTGCATCGGCAGGCGGACTCTCAACCACTGCGCCACCAGGGAAGCCCCAGAACCCACATTTTGACAAGATCCCGAGGGATCTGCATGCACATAAATGTGTAGGTTTGGGGACTCCGTGGCTGCCTGTGGCCCTGGGTGGGCTAGGAGACCCCTCTGCAAGTTTCTAGCACAACTGGGTGACAAGGTTACTGACTGAATCAGTGAAGACCGAGGAAGCACAGAGTTTAGCTCTACTGTAAGTTTTACAACGTTAATCTGCATTTGACAAACGCACAACCGTGACTGCGCAGCACAGAGATTAGCACTAAGTGGCAAGCAGATCATAATTCCTCCTTCGAAGTAGAAAAGCAAACTGTTTTGGTGTGTGTGACGTGGGGTGAGGGGTGGAGGGCACTCAGGAGGAGCTGATGAGGACCAAGAGGATCCTGACCATCCCTGAAAAGCCATCTTTTGTTCATGGCCTAGGGACCGTCCGGGGAGCGAGGACGCCAGCCCCCATGGGACACCACTGACAGCTGCTGGTGAAAAACTTTGCCTCCCAGACTGGCAAGACCAGCACTCACTACACAACCAGCATCCCCAGGCACTTGGCTAAGCACTTCCTCCAATTTCTCTCAACTAACGTAACAACCTCCCAAGTAGGACAGGTCACCGTGTTGCACGTGAGATCTCCGAGCTGATCAAGTCACCAACTGTGGTCACGGTATTCTCACACTGGCAGAGCCAGGACTCGAACCCAGGTCTGATGCAGAAACCCTCACTTTCCAGTCAAGACCCTACCCCGGCAGAGGGGCTGGCTCTGGGAAAGGGCCCTGGGAAGGGGCCCCTGGAAGGGGCGGGAGGTAGACAATGACCTTGGATGAACTTGACTGTGCCCCTCCCCTCCTCTCAGAGGCCAGGAGGGGGACTGCGCAGCCCTCTCATCTATTTAGTAAGAGATCATATCACCCACGTGCAATTAAAGCAACAGAGAACCAAGCCCCAAGCCCAGAAAGGAAAGCCTGTTCCCATGTATGCAATCTCAATTCTTCCATCAAGCCATCCCCTAAGTCGATGCCCAGGAGTTTTATACAAAAGCAGCAGACTCCCCAGCAACCTCAGACGGCCCGGGCACCGGTACTCTGCCCCGCCCAGAGGGCCACTCCTTACCAGCGTCCTGGTACTGCTGGTAGGCTGGGTCGCTCTCCGCCTTAAAGACCCCAATGATGATGACATCGTCTCCATCCTTCAGGAACTCCTGGACCTGCTTCAGGGCCAGGATCTGCTTGGAGGGCGGCCCAGACTGCTCGATCATGTAGTCAACGATCCCTGGGAGCAGAGCACATGCCTGAGGGGCCGCTTGGGGCTGTAGGGCACTGTCCCCACAGCTCTGCCAGCGCCCACATGCGCCAGGAGCTTCCCTCCCCACTGAGGCCAGAGGAGGTGGCAGTACCGTATTTTTCCCGTGGGCCGTTGTAATCAAAGGGCTTTCCCTTGCGGAAGATTTTCAGGGTGGGATAGCCGGAGACGTCGAACCTCTTGGCCAGGTCTGTCTCTGTGGTGGCGTCGACCTTCGCCAGAGGGATTGGGGGAGAGTGCTTGCTCAGCTCCTTGGCGGCCTTCTCATACTCGGGGGCCAGTTTCTTGCAGTGTCCACACCTGCGAGAGGAGGCAGTTCTGTCAGGGGCCTGTTCTGGTGTGGATGCCACCTGCCAAGTAAGTGAAGCGCAGAAACCCAGCCTGCGCTCCCGGGGGACTGGAGAGATCCGGCCAACCTCGGGATGCCCCCGGGTGAGGGCGGGGCCCGGGCCTTCCCCAGGGGCCAGCAGGATGTGGCCTCCTCCTTCATGGGGGTGGGGGGACGCACACAACACACACACACCCGAGACATGGGTGGACAGGGGCGTAACCGTGACATGGGGTAAGACGTGGGAAAGACCAAGACAATTTTCTTGGTTGGAGAGCTGGGGCAGGTAAGGATACCAGTCAGTGGTGACTTCACACAGGATATGAGGGTGAGCTGGGACACGAGGGAGGGGCAGCAAGTGAATGCAAGCCTGTAAAGGGGGCGGTGAGGGGAAGGGACAAAAGGCAGGAAACTCTAGGGACCCTGGGGCTCCGGCACAAGAAGGGAACACGTCTTGAGTGTAAAGCAAGAGTCAGGGTCAACTTCCAAGATTCACTCCAGAACAGTTGAGAGCACAGATGAAGACAGAGAAAACCAAGGTTCAAATATCTCAGGAGGGAGGCAGCAAGGTCCGGGGGGAAGTGGGCACTGCCCGGCGCACGGCCGTATCCTCCAGCTCTGAGGGGCCCCAGATCGTTGGGTGGCCCCCCTATGTGGCCCACGTGGCTTACTCTCCCCTGCAGGCTCCACGCTTCAGGCCTATATTTTAGCCTCATCCTAACCCCCAGGAAAGACTCTGTGAAACCACCTCTCTCGGAACACGCAGCGCCCCACTCTGCCCACTTGTGCATGGCGGGGACTTTGCACCCGCCTGCTCTTTGGCTAGCCCTGCCTCACGTGCGGGGGTCTGTCTCTGCCACCGCCGACCCGTGCCTGTACCGAACCCAGGACGGGCCTGACCAGTATCCGATAACAGGTGATAGACACCATCTTACCACGGGGCATAAAACTCCACCAGAATGATGCCTGAGTCATTCACCACCTCATCGAAGTTATCTTTGGTCAGCACTAGCGTGACTTCTGGTGGAGGTGTCCAGTTGGGCTGGGAGATCTCCTTGACCTTGGCCACAATTTCTGGAAGAAACAACACAAGACTGAGCACATGCAGGCCCCCGCTCCAGGGGTGGCAGGTGGTGAGGGGTGAAGAGAGAGAGCGGGGCCACAGAACAGGACCCGTGTGGTTTCCTGAAATCCAATCACGTCTACAGCCAGGGCCACTCTGCACAGTTAAGAGCCAGAGGTCCACTGTTTCCAGCAGCTGTCCGTCACATGTCCACTGCCACACGCACCCCCTGCGGACTGCTCGAGACAGTCCAAGCCCAACCCGACAAACGAGACTTCCGTTCCTACCACACCGGGGTTCTGACTGCACTCGAACCCCTAGAGGTCATCTCCCAGTGTTTGACCACACATGCCTATTAATAGTTTTGGGGGCATCCTCTTAACGCGTACAAATACGTATGTATTTAGACACACACATCTAGCACTGGCATGTTACACGCATCATAAAACGTAACCAAAATGGAGAAAAATGAAAAGAGAAGCAGCAGCTCCCACGCCACTCAGGCTGCACAGACTGCAAACGGCCCTTCTGTGGCCTGCTTCCCCGGAGATGGATTCAACGCCAGGCCTGGGACACTGAATATATTCTCGCAAAGCACTTTCCAAGGGGTTCTTAGGAGCAGCGGCTGCAAACTTTTTCTCTCCTTTTTTTGCCATAGAATCTACCAAATAGCCAGGTCTGAGACCCACTGCCGCAAAGCACGAGCTTGCAGACTGGAGCGCGCACAGCAGCACCCGCCGGTGTAGGCAGAGCTGAGGCCCTGGGGCCATCAACGCGGGCGAGCCCCATTATTAAGACGCACTGGGAGGGCTGGTGCCTGGGGAGGCCACTTAGGCAAACTCTGCTCTCAAGATTCCAAACTGGGCCACATCCCTAGCTGTCAGGTGTCAAGCGCAGACCTCCAAATATACAAGTCTGTCACAGGACAGACTCTCGTACCAATTCAAAGGGAACCTTGAGATCAAGTCCACATGACCTCACACTCCATGATGAGGAGCTCGAGGCCCAGCAAGGGAGGCCCTTGTGGGGGGACACAGGGCTACGTGATGGCAATAAAGACCCCAAAGCTATTCAGTGCTATTTCTACTATGCTATACTGGGAATGGAAAATGCAGCACAAAGCAATCTTTTTTTCTTAAGTGATTAAGAGATAAGCTAAAGGCTACCACAATGTTATTTTCTCGTTCATTTAATGAAACTTATTTAGTGTCTGATGTGAGCCAGGCAAGGATGCATCGGGCCTAGTTTTAGAAACACTGTCTGGCTCCGCACACCAGTGGTTCCAACGTGGGGCTCCGGACCCGCACGTTCGGCAAGCCCTTGGCGCTCGCAAGAAACGCAGGTTATTGGGCCAGACCTGAAACTTAGTGAATCAGACGCTCTGGGCTGGGGCTCGACAGTCTGTCTAAACGAGCCCCCCAACCCCACCCCACCCCACCCCACCCCCCGTGAGTCGGATGCAAGCTAGACATTCAGAAGCACCGCTCCAGCGCACTACCAAGACCCATGACCTGTAACACACCGGCTCCAGACCTTGAGTTTCACGGTCGTCGGTGGAAGAAGATACCCCCTCCCGTGCAAGGACGAGTTTAAGTTGATCCAAGTTCCCGCGAACATCCCATCAGGGATCACTCCCCGTCCACGCAGCTTGGCTTCCTTTCTAATACCCAAATTCCCCTCCCATCACCCCCTCCACTTTCCCTTCCAGGGGGAGGGAGCCCTGTCCCCGACGTCCACCAGCAGCTCAGAAGCCGCTCACCTTCCTGGGTCCTGGAGCCCTCGTAGTCGACAGCCTGCCCCTTCTTAAGGATCTTGATGGTGGGATAGCCACTCACGTCAAACCTGCTGGCCAGCGCCGATTCCGAGGTCGCGTCGATCTTGGCGACAGCAATGGGAGGGTCATTCTCCCTCAAGGTAGTGGCGATTTTTTCATATTCTGGAGCAAACTGCTTGCAATGCCCGCACCTGAGAATTAGATTTCGGGAGGAAGAAGCAGGTTAACTGTATCCATGGAGACTTAAATCCAGCAACGCGCACGCAAATGGGGACACTGGGACCAGAAATGTTTGCGGTTAACAAGAAACACAAAACAGGGGAGGCCAAGGCAGCTGAAAGTCAAACAGATCCAGGTTCGAAACTCAGCTCTGCTGAGGGAACATGCTTGCAACATCTTTACACCCCAGTGTGAGGAGAAAACTCTTCCTGAAAGATGCCGTCTTTTCCACTCCTCTCAGAAGCATATGGCAGGGTTTTCCAGAGGCTACGTGACCGACAATGATGTCAGCATTCCGATGTGAACATGTAAGAGGGCTACTGTTATTTAAAGATGGCCTTTTCTATTTCTCAGTTTTAATTTCCGATATGGTAACTACTGATAAACATGACCCACATAACAAGCTATTTGAGGTCCTCAATTATTAAGTGTTAAGGGGCCCTGAGAGAACAAAGTGTTTGAGAATGGCTGATCTATAAACCAGGAATGATGTAACCTCATAGGCCTGTCCTAAGGACTGTTTAGATACTTTTACAAAGCATCTCACACTGTGCTAGACAAACAACATAAGAATATCTTGACTATTTTGTCTCCGAAGTGAACCAGGGAGGGCAGGAGAAAGGGGAAAAAGAAGATGGGATTATGAGATGGAAAAAACAGCAGAAGAGAGGTGGGGGGAAGGAGCCTAAGAGTCATGACTGGTTGCACCGTGAGGGTGAAAGATGGGAAAAGAGGGGCTGCTCCCCCAGGGCCCATGCACCTTTCCTATGGGAGGCCCCAGGGGCTGCACTGGGCAGCCGCCAGACTCCGGGCAGGAGGAGGGGGTGGAGGGCTGAATCTGTAACGAGGGATGCGCCTGTCACCCACGCAGGTCTCTGTGTCATCACAGCTCGTCAGCCGTCCCCATCTGTAACTAGCAGAGGACGTGTTCACATTTTTAAGCACTGGATCTGAAACGAGTGGGGCCCACGGTCCGTGAGGGCTGGCTCGTTGGACACTCAACGCAAACTGGCAGAATGCTGAGCTCCTGGCGTTCCCGAACCAGGAGTCTGGGTTCCTGCACCTGGACACTCCCACCCTGCGGGGTCTGGATGACTCTGAGGGGTCAAGCCTGGGACACAGAGGAACCCCTGGTCCGTCTGGCTGAGGGGGACGGAGCGTGGGTCCTCACCATGGAGCGTAGAACTCCAGCAGCACCGTGTCTTTGTCAGCCACAAAGTTATCGAAGTTCGCATCATTTAGGACTGAGACACCATTTTCTTCCTTAACTTCCAAGTCATCGCCGTCGTCCTCGTCCTCGTCATCTTCCTCCTCCTCGTCTTCCTCCTCAATGGCATCCTCTTTCTTAGAAGAATCTGTGCAGAAAATACCCAGACTGGTTAGGAAAATGGTGACCCTCCTCCTTAAAAATCTTCCTAGAGGGACTTCCCTGGTGGCACAGTGGTGAAGAATCCGCGTGCCAATGCAAGGGACACGGGTTCGAGCCCTGGTCTGGGAAGATCCCACAGGCCACGGAGCAACTAAGCCCGTGTGCCACAACTACTGAGCCTGCGCTCTAGAGCCTGCATGCCACAACTACTGAAGCCCATGTGCCTAGATCCCGTGCTCGGCAACAAGAGAAGCCACTGCAATTAGAAGCTCGCACACTGCAACAAAGAGTAGCCCCCGCTCGCAACAACTAGAGGAAAGCCCACGCACAGCAACGAAGACCCAACGCAGCCAAAAATAAATAAATAAATAACTTTACTTAAAAAAAAAAAAAAACTCCCTAAATGTGAATTGGTTCAGCCACTATGGAGAACAGTATGGAGGTTCCTTAAAAAACTACAAATAGAACTACCATATGACCCAGCAATCCCACTACTGGGCATATACCCTGAGAAAACCATAATTCAAAAAGAGTCATGTACCAAAATGTTCATTGCAGCTCTATTTACAATAGCCCGGAGATGGAAACAACCTAAGTGCCCATCATCGGATGAATGGATAAAGAAGATGTGGCACATATATACAATGGAATATTACTCAGCCATAAAAAGAAACAAAATTGAGCTATTTGTAATGAGGTGGATAGACCTAGAGTCTGTCATACAGAGTGAAGTAAGTCAGAAAGAGAGAGACAAATACCATATACTAACACATATATATGGAATTTAAGAAAAAAAAATGTTATGAAGAACCTAGGGGTAAGACAGGAATAAAGACACAGACCTACTGGAGAACAGACTTGAGGATATGGGGAGGGGGAAGGGTGAGCTGTGATAGGGCGAGAGAGAGACATGGACATATATACACTAACAAACGTAAGGTAGATAGCCAGTGGGAAGCAGTCGCATGGCACAGGGATACCGGTTAGGTTCTTTGTGGCTGCCTGGAGGGGTGGGATAGGGAGGGTGGGAGGGAGGGAGACGCAAGAGGGAAGAGATATGGGAACATATGTACATGTATAACTGATTCACTTTGTTATAAAGCAGAAACTAACACACCATTGTAAAGCAGTTATACCCCAATAAAGATGTTATAAAAAAAAAATCTCCCTAGAACCCAAAACCCTCAAAATGGTCACAAGTCCTACGTGGTCCCTGGGGGCCTCCCCAACCCCAGAAATTTGCATATCGGGTGGCCACTTAAGATTTCACTTAAAGGGAGGTCATGCCTAAAAGATGGCTGAAAACTGACTACAGGTCTAGAATTTGAAGTCTAAAAACTGCAGCAGGACTGGGAGGGCAGGACCAGCCCCCTCTCCAGACGGAGCACTCCCTCCCCGGCCCTGCTCTGCAGGCCTCCAGCCCAGGCACAGAGAACCTGCCGTCCTGCTCCCCAGGCACAGACCTGATGCACCCCTCAGGCTGCCCCGCACAAGGCTCCTGACCCATATGCACGCTGTGCGCCTCAGGCTCCTCACTTCGTGGGTCCCCCACGTCTGTGCTCAAGGGCCAGGCTAACTTTCACACACGTGTTCCTCTTCCTCACCCTCTCTGCTTCCACAGGCAGGAAGGACTGCATCTAATCCACCCGCCCAATGAATGACTGACTGCCTGGTCCCCAGATCAGTACAAACAGGAAACAAGTACTGGTTCTCAACTTTTCCACCCTGGAGGTTACTCGGGCTGACTTTATAAGTAAAATATGATTCCCCACACTCTTCCCTTCACATTTCAACCTTTTGCTCAAGGATTATAACACCTGTGGGGCTATTCTTTATGTGTATGTGGTAAAAATGCCACCCCTTTCAGAAATGGATTAGGATTCCATCCTCCAGAATGAAAAGTTGAGGACCAGTACTTGTTTCTTGTTCGTACCTTTGTAGGACGCCCTGCCTGGAAGCAAAGTACGCTTTCCAGAACGCGAGAATATGAGCACATCTTATTATCAAGGTTCAACTGAATTTGTTGCTGAACTACAGGTACCAGAAATCCTGAACGGCAGTTCTCGTTACCCAGGTTCCCCAGCTGCTACCACGCCAGCAAACAGAACTGCAGCCAGCACGATTTCATCAACTCCAAAGGCAGAATGTTTCAGGGCCAATTATTTATTTTTGGAGATGCTTCCCAGGAGAGAATCCAACACCGACAGCGGGACTGAGGTCAGAGCTTGAAAACCTGCCCTCGGGACCCGGGAACCCCTGGGACTTGACCAATCTTAGCCGCCCCTGAACTGATCCAGTGCTGGCTCTGCAGCTGCTCAGAAAAGCCAGGAACTGGTCTGGGCAGGGTGACAGCTTTGCTCGGTATAATTAAAATCTACCAATCTGCACACTAATTGTCAAAAGTAAACCAAAAACCCACCCCACCCCGCAGAGCCCCACTTTCCTCCACACTTGTCCCTTCAAACACCCACTGCTTTTTCCTTTCACACACCCCCCCCAACTTAAGGCAGAAGTTCCTCCATTGCGCTGGCAGGAGAAACGGCTCTAAAATCCAAAAAGAACACCCACCAATTTGAGGAGTACATATCCAGCAGACCCCCACGTTTCTTGGGGCAGGTTACCGGCCCTGCCCGCAGTCTTCCTCCCGTCCTCCCCGAGCTCCCCAGCCACCTCGCCACTTCCCTGCTCCCCATCAGGGACCCTGCGGGGTGGTCAGGCCTGCAGAAGCCCCAGGCCCCCAGCACTGTCAGCAGGAGGCTTGGGGAGAGCAATGAGAACCAGGCTCCCTGGACGTGGAGGGGGCAGGACCCAGAGGAAAACAACCTGGGCTCAACCCCAATGCCACCTCTCAGGGCTGTGGCCTCAGCTCATTTCTTTACACTCAAGTCACACTGAATCCCCTTCCACTGGTGACTGGCAGCCAACATGATGCACCCAGGTCCTCGGGAATCCTAGGACGTAACGCTTGAGAACCTCCGGGTTTACGCCGGCTGGCTAGGGGCTCCCGGTACAGGAACACTGCCTACAACAAACCTGCAGAATAAGCACTAGCTGACCCACGTCAGCCTGCAGAACCTTGTCCCAGCGGCTTTCAAAAGGCTAGTCTGACCGCCCCTCACTTGAAAGTCCCACCCAAAATGACCCACGTCGGGGCAGCAAACCCGGGGGCTTAATGTGGGGATGTCGTGCAGGTTTGCTGCTCCTGTCGGGGGCCTAGGAAGCGCCACACGCCTTGCCCCAGATCTGGGTGCTCCCACGGCCCGGAAGGCCTGCTGTGGGCAGTTAGGTATATGCCCCAGGCAGTGCATCTCCACTCTCACCGCCTGGCTGCTCAGCTCAGTCCGAGAATCAAGTTTACTTGCGGGCAGATGGAAAGACTGGAGGAAGGGTGGAAAGAAGGCTCGGGAGAACTTAATCCTCTCTTCAAGCTAGGAAACACAGCTGGGGAGGAAGAGGGCCTCGGCCATCTGCTCAATGCACAGGGATAAGGTGAATTTTACAAAATGGAAAAGCAAAGATGCTTTCCTACCTACACCCAGCCCGAAGTGGTCTGCGAGCACTATTGGTCATGGGGCTCTCACGATTAAATGGGGGTCCATGAGTTATCCTGGGACAGAGCTCCAAACAGTGAATTCATTTCTTGACACTTTTTAAAAAATTGACTTTGAGTTTATATTTTTAAGGATAAACAAAATGGCAGAACATTCCCTACATAATTAAGGATCCTCAACAGCATTAAGGCGTGGCCCCCCCCTTTCCATTCCTCCCCAAGTTGCAGACAATCCCCAGGGTTGACTCCTCTGCAACTGGAGAAGGTGCTGGCTCTATATTCCCATGGACTAAAACCCCACACATCCGGACAAGGAAAAAATCTCAGTTTAATGGGGAGACCACTCTTCACTGGGCTTCACTTTTAAAGTTGGACATTCTAGGATAGAAATATATCCAAAGCCTTCCAGCACCTTCTGGAAGGGTGCCATCCTCCCCAGCGTGTCGTCAGTGAAGCCTCTTGCATCATCTCCACACATGGCTTAGCCCACCCAGTAAGGCCACTCCTAAAATGTAGGCCCCTCCTCTAACCAGGTCACTGCAACCCCTGCCCACTCCCACCAGTACATCTGACAACACTGGATCCTGCCCAGGCTGGACACCAGCGGCTCCTTACAGCATGTCCTCATCTGCCTCCTCAGCTGGCCGGTCTTCCAGTCCCCACCAGGGAGGTGCCCATAAAAGTTGGGTAAATCTTACCATTAGGTCAATACTGAATAGAAAAAGAGAAATTTGTTATCAGATATAACATCATTTAACTGATATGTTTTATGTGCCAGGCACCGTGCTGAGCACTTAAGCACACTATCTCATCCCCTGAGGGAAACACATTACATGCACTTTACAGAGGAAGAAACAGAGAGCTTTAGTCACCTGCCCAAAGGCACAAGGCTACTGAGTGGAGGGTCCTGACCGCTCAGCTGCTATGCCATGGTGACACATAGGATTTTCTTCCCAGGATGCCCCAAGTTTTACATGGACTCGTTTTATAATTACTTCCCAGAAACGAAAAGAGAGGGGCAACTGGACAGTTCCCAAGCACTGTACCCAAGTGAATTTCCACTTACTTTAAAATCTAAACCAATCCCAAATAAAAGCAAGCAAGGGACTTCCCTGGTGGTCCAGCGGTTAAGACTCTGCACTCCCAACGCAAGGGGCCCCGGGCTCCATCCCTCATGCCGCAACTAAGAGTCCACATGCCGCAACTACAAGAGCTCACAGGCCGCAGCGAAGATCCTGCATGCTGCAACTAAGCCCCGGTGCAGCCAAATAAATAAATAAATAATAAAATAACTAAGATCCTGCATGCCCAGCAGTGAGGCAAAAAAAAAAAAGGTTTTCCTTAGGGAAAACCCCCTAAGGACAGGGACCATCTGGGGTAGAGGGAAGTGTGGCCCTAAAATAAATCCACGGGATGGGTTATCTGTGATAGAAGCTGAACGTGAAGATCCAGGGATGGGAAAGAGGCCAGGTAAATACTAGAAGCCCCACCCTACCCAACTGCAGAGATTCCCGGGCTCACCCCACAGGCGACTACTTCCCAGGGCCTTCAGTGCATTAGTGACCTGTGACCCAAATGACAGATTCTTCCTAATAGCCCTTGGTGTCCACCCAGGTCCACCCTTCCAGGCCTCTTAAGAATCCCCACAAAACAGGGCTTCCCTGGTGGCGCAGTGGTTGAGAGTCCCCCTGCCAATGCAGGGGACACGGGTTCGTGCCCTGGTCCGGGAAGATCCCACATGCTGCGGAGTGGCTGGGCCCGTGAGCCATGGCTGCTGAGCCTGCGCGTCCGGAGCCTGTGCTCCGCAACGGGAGAGGCCACAGCAGTGAGAGGCCCGCGTACCACAAAAACAAACAAACAAACAAACAAAACAAAAAGAATCCCCGCAAAATAGAATCACTGGATCAGAACCAAGACAAAGCTAGTTTGCTCTTTGGCTACGTTCCAAAAACTACCCTCCATCTCCACTGGTCCTCAAACTTTAAGGTGCCTCCCAAAGTTTACTTTGCCCACGAATCAATGAAATGTTTAACATGCAGATTCGAGGGCCCACTGCTGCAGTCCGCTTGGGTGTATTTTGGGACTCTGTATTTAAATAAGCACCAGGTGATTTGGATAAAGGTCCTAAGACACTTGTAGGTGACACTGCTCTCTAGTTCCTGTTGGCAGGTAGGTGTTCTCACCAAGCGCTGGTTTTTAACTTCCCTTTCTATGTGGGTAAAGACTCTTGAATCACTGACTTGCATAAAAGTTACTCAATCTGTTTTAAAAGAGTATAAAGTTCACAGTTCCTTTACACACTAACGTTAGAAAAAGGGGTTTATTTATATTGGAACAAACTCAACAGGAAAAAACTCTAGTCACCTAGAGAAAAGCCAGAGAGGAAGTTTAAGACTAGTAATGCGATGCCCTGTTCTCTAGGAATTAGCATTCTTCTCTTGACTAAAACTTTCTAATTTTCCAAGTTCTCTTTCACCATTTGTTTTTAGCTAGCCGATTTCAAAGAAAAATGCAGGAGTGGTGACTAGTAGCTGCGCACCTTCCTCCCAGAGCGGGCGCTTTATGGACAGGGGCCACACTCATCCTTAACTCCCACAACCCAGCGCAGTGACCGGCACACACAGTAGGTGCTGAATAAATGCTCGCAAAAGGAATGCTATCTCCGGTTTCCAAAAGATGCAAACGAAGCCATCCCTTTCTCCCGCAAACCAGAACCCTTGAGTTACTTAAATCCAAACCTACAAACCACAGTTTTGAGACGTAAAATGCTTGCTGCCCGCGGTTGTCCCGAGAGCTCCCACTTGGGGCTTCATGCCCTCGCCCCTTCTCTAAAATCTGTTTTGAAACCAGAGGCCCCTCTCCCTTCACACTCCCTGGGCGTGTTAGCCTCAAATGCTGAACCAGTTCCCAAGCTCCCCTTCCCAGGAGCGGGCAGTCAGCCTGGACTCGAGGAAAACCTGAGCAGAATCAGGGCGAAGGAGCCAGCATGCAAAGAAGGCACTTTACATCCTCTCCGCGTTCAAGCCTCGGTGGCAGCCCCGGCCGCTTCGCCGCCCTCCTCTCCCGGATCTCCCAAGCGATCCTGTCCCCCGCTACCGCCCTCAAACTGCAGCACGTCGGCGGTCCTCGCGGCGACCCCGCCCACAGGCCCGGCCCGCCGCCGCTCACCTTCATCCGGGCCCTCGGCGCTCGCCGCTGCCAGCAGCTGCGCCAGGGCTAAGAGCAGAACGAGCAGCCAGGCTTTCCGGGGCCTCATCGCGGCGGTGCGGCCACTGGGCGATCCCGAACCTCTGGCTCCGGTCTCGCGAAGGGAAACGAGAGGTAAGGAAAGAAACTTCCCCCCACCCCGGAAGACCTAGCCGGCAATTGACTAGGGGCGGGGGAAGCCGCGGACCGGCCAATCTCAGCCCGACCTGGGGCGCGGGCCGCGTGTTCTGAAGTGCGCGTCCGAGCGCCGAAGTGCGCGTCCCAGCTCCGCAGCACAGGCCTCAGCGCAGATCCTCCTCTCTGGCCTCCTCCGCAGGCCCCGCGGCTCAGGCGTTTAAAGATCAGAGCGCTAACGTGAGGTGCCCCCTTCTGATTGGCTGCGCTGCGGCCTCCAATCAGCGGCTGCCACTCGGTTTGCCTGGAGCGCACAGGCTGAGAGAGGGAACGGGGGAGAACAAAAGCGGCGGGCAGGGGCCGGAGGGGCGGGGTCGGGCTACGCCTCGGGAGCAATTGGCCGGTGGAGCGGTAGGCGGGGCCTTGGAAATGCGAGGCGGGCGGGGCTCCAGGCTGCTGATCTGGGCAGGAAGAACACGTGTCCTTAGCAGAACGTTGGTGAGAGGGTACGTGTGTGCAACCCTGTGGGACCCCGGGGGCGCTCAAGAGCGAAGCGGCGGAGAGGCCCGAACTAGTCTGTTGGTGGGAAAGAGAGAGAACGGGACTCCGGAGTCGCCTTCATGTTCGTGGTCTTTTTGGTTTATGCCTGCGCGAATGAAAGTTCGCATTTCTTTCCTGGATTAAAACACAAATTGGCCTAGGGACGGGGGTCGCATGCAGTAAAAGTGAATCTAGAACTAGGATTTGGGGAAGCTTCTCTCTAGGGTTTCATCTATGAGCAGGCCATCAGGTGCGTGTCTAAACTTTGTTTCATGTTATCAATTTCTCCTGATTTTACGCAAAATCTATAGGTTTACACAAGTCTAAATATAGGCTTGAGGTTTTCCCTCTTGACAATTTAGGAGGAAAAAAACTAGACTAAGATAGATAATGATTTTTGTACGTCAAGCCGTGATGTGTTGTAGGGTTTGAGATTTCTTTAACACCTGGGGATTCGTATGCCTGAATTGTTACGGAAGAGAAATAGGTCAAATTAACAAAACTCGAGGGTCCAGAAGTATTTTTCTGTGTATACAGATTGTCAGGAAGAAAGAAAGCTAACTACTCACAGGCTTTAGTAATTAGAAAGTTTTTTATTTGATTTATTAAATTTAATAAATTTCTATTGAACTACTGAATCTGATGGTACTCCCCTCAGTTTTGTAGGGCGGGAAGACATTATTCAATTAACTGTAACGACAGGATGAGTATGCACTAAGTGATTTATCAGAATGCTCTGAATGTAGAATATCAAACAGTTGAATATCATTTTAAGAAACTCTTCAGGGGGCTTCCCTGGTGGCGCAGTGGTTGAGAGTCCGCCTGACGATGCAGGGGACAGGGGTTCGTGCCCCGGTCCGGGAGGATCCCACATGCCACGGAGCGGCTGCGCCTGTGAGCCATGGCCGCTGAGCCTGCGCGTCTGGAGCCTGTGCTCCGCAACGGGAGAGGCCACAACAGTGAGAGGCCTGCATACCGCAAAAACAAAACAAAACAAAAAAAAAGAAGGGCCTCATCTTACAGGCTGGAATCACAGAATTCTACATGCTGCCACTACGACAAGACGACTTAAGAAAAGGAATTCATGTAATCTCAATGCACAGACTCAAATGTCAGTGCTCCAACTCTTTCTTACCCTAAAACAGCCAAACTTTGATGCTCTTCAAATCCAAGCCTCCCAGCACGGGGGTAACTGCCCTTTCTGTCTTCTCCCTTTCCCCTCTGTCCTGGAAGAGTGAGCAGCTCTTGTCCCATTTCAATCTGGGATATTGAGCCTGGTTTGGGAATAGTGTGTTTTCTCACCTAGAAAGGTCACAATGAGGTGGATTCGTTGCCTTGAGTTTTATGTCTGAAAGCATGTCCAGGGGTGCCAAAATTCCCATATTTTACTAAAGGCACAAGACACTGGGAGAGAGAAAATCAAGACAATATCCAAAAAACCTGAGGACCCTTCAATGCCAGGAAGGGGAAATAAAACCATCCACACTCCAGCACTGTAAGCTTTATTTGGAACTGGGGTACCCATCTTACCACACTTCTCACATGACTAAAAAGCCCAGTGAGGTGTCTATTTTCTGATAGTAGTAGAAACAGTACTCCAGGAGAAACGATGTCAGGAATATTGCAGGTAAGAGTTCTCATTGGCATCTAACCCAAACGATAGGGCTGGGCTGCTCAGAACCAAAAGGCTGTTCCAACTGTTCTCTAAGGGCCTGGACAACATGGTCCAAGAAGAAAGCGGAGCAGGTGACTGGTTGTAGTTCAGGAAGCAGATGCCAGAAGACAGTGGGGAACCTGGCATATGGTCCAGGAGGGGGGCGGTTGGAGGGGTATAGCTGTCCCACGTGTTAGTGTTTTTTTTTTTCTATTCTGTTATAAATTCATGGATTTAATCCAGTATTAATTAAGAGTATTTGTTTTCTTTTTTTAAAGGAATGATAGAGGGAAGTGGTAAATGTTACACTTTTTCTGCTTACAAAAAGTAATGCCCTTATAAAATCTTCTCAGCTGCAGTAAACCTTTTATTTCTTCAAAATGCTGCTTCTGCCAACAGAATTTGAATTTCTCTTCTTCACAGACAGGAGCTCCTTCACAGTCAATTGTAATTCCGTCTGCCCTAGAGTAGGCACAAAATTCAGTGCAACTAGTGCATAGTGTTCTGGCCAGAACCTGCATCTCCATTTCATGATGACCTTTTTATTTGTTAACAATTCTATATATTTACCGGTGATGTTCCCATCAAACATTTGGAGTTTCCCTCCCTTTTCAGCTTCTAATACAGCAGGAGATTTAGAAAATTTTTGTCCCAAATCTTTCACAGTAAAGATTCTGTACAGCTGCTCGATAGCTGTGTCAAACAGTTCCGTCATGTGCAGTGCCACAGTGGGAATCCTTACACCCAGTGCCACTGGAGAGGAGGCCTGAATCTGCAAGGTATTCTCACTCAGTTTCCTTTTAACAGTCAATTCCTGGGTTGCCATAGCTTTGGTTTGTAAAATCATTCCCATTGTAAATTCCATCTTAAGTGCCTTCAGGTAATCTCCAAGGGCTTCCCTGACCTCGGCGGTGTCTGCAGTTTTCATAAGATCTTTCAAGTATACCCCCATCTCCTTTCTTTTTACTCACGTTCACTTCAGTGTCATCTACTTCTGTTTCTTAAGACAAGTTGGGTATTTCAATCAACCCCTTGTGCTTCGCACCAGATTTTTTAATTATACCTTTCCAGCCCAATGTGATGTTGCACTCACAGAAGAAAATCAGCTTTCCTTTGCGGCGGCTGCAGGAAGCCTCACCTTCCACCTGCCTCAGCTCACTGATCTCGCAACCGGCAGCCTCATTCTCCACAGCGGTGCCCGCCAGAAGCTCACAGAGCTTCCCCTTGGACCAGCTGGTGGCATCCCGCTCTGTCAAGCCCTGGCTCACTGCCACGTCCCTGAACCTGCTTCTCCTCTTGTTCCCCTCCTGGCTTCCCTCTGTAGGACTGTGGGCAACATCTCCTGTCATCCAAGGGCTGGATGTTCTCAACATGTGTTAGTCTTAATTGCCTCCTTCCAATGACTGGAATCTGCCTTCTATCATAAACCACACATGAAGCCCTTGCATTGAAAATATGCATTGCTTTCCTCCTTGGTTCTCATTAGACGGTCTAACCTGCATTTTAATCAACTTCAAGTTTACCTGTTGGGCAGGTGCAACCTGCTTCTCATTGGTCAAGACTGAGTTGAGGTGTCGTTTCTCTGGGACAACTTCCCTGAGCCCTTGAATGTGGGTTAAGTGCCCTTCCTGGGTGCTGTCCTCACGCGTCTGCTTTCCCTCTCGCCTGGCGCTTATTCCACTTTCCTATATCTGCCCATTATTCGTCTTTCTCTCCATTTGACTGTGAGCTTCTCGAGGGCAGAGACAATACCCGGCCACATCGACGTTTGCTGAATGACCGGGACTGCCCTTCCTCCTGGTGCTGCTCTTGGATTGGGTGTGCTTTCCAAACCCCAGCCCATGGCCATCTGCAATTGGCTGTTGATGTTTATGATCTTAGTAAATTACTCCTAATTTTATGGCATTAGAATCACTTTTATTTAAATGACTTTCAGATCTGTACTAGATTCAGTTTGGGGGTTGATTTCAGTCCTGTGTCCGCTCATATATTAGATGTATCACCTCTGTTGATCTTTTTCACTTCTTCACTGATTCATTCTGTCAACTAAACCATTTCCATTAATAGTATCGCCACCTTTTCCTTCCCTTCTCCCTTTCTTTTCCTTCCTCTTTCTCCTCCCTTCCTTTCCTGAACAATTCAGTTCCAAAATCATTAAGTAGAGCTGAGTAAGGTAAGCATCTACAGCAGGTGGGGATGGGAGGGGGTGGGGTGGCCCAGAGCAGGATGTCAGAGCCCCAGTGGGGCTCTGCTCGGGGAAAGGGGTGGCAGTGGCCCCAGGAGGTGGCTTACTCACAGGAGGACTGATCAGATAAATAAATATATTACAGATAATGGGAGCAAAGCTCACTCTTGGAGATGAGAATTACCGATGTGGGAAGAGGCAAAACTAGAACGGACACTGGTATGGTAGTGGTATTGGTGTGGAATCATTCATAAAAATAGATGTGGAAATAAATGTAAACATGTGTACATGTTATATGTATGTATGTCCTAGCTCTGTCCACTGAGGGGGTCTGGGAGTAGCAATCCTCAAATAGCAATGGGCACAACTAGTGCCGGATCTTGGCTTCTAACCCACTCTCCGTTACAAGGAACCAGGGGTCCTGGGAGAAATGATCAACTGCAGCGCTGGAACAGGGTAAATAGAAGACACACCTAGAACAACTTGTGACAGAGATAGCAAGGGAGTTGCTCAAGAATGATGAGAACAAGTCAAAAGGACATGGAAGCCTGTGTAAGGGGGCTTCCACTGGCCAAATTTAGGACAATGAGAGC